ACCTCAGCACGTACCCACAGCAGCCACACAGACCCTGGTGACCCCGGTCACACAGAGGAACTCCCAGCTGGCCACGTCACTGCCCACCAGTCCGACTGCTCACAGCCCCACCATGGCACTCCAAACCACACCAGTCACAACAAGGAACACCCAGCTGGCCACAGCACCACCCGTCAGTCCTGCCCACGCCTCCACCACAGCTCTCCAAACCCCACCATGGCTGAATGAGCCTCCTGGTGCTGCAAGTGCCCAACCTGCTGCAGTCAGTGCCACATCAGGGGCAGCACCTGCTCAGCACATCAGAGCCACTGCCATGGCAGGAGGAGAATTCCACCTGAAAATGGGGGAGACAGTTAGCCAGGAAAACCAGGCAGCACAGCCCACATTCCCAGCAAGAACTGTGTCAAGTGCTCCTGCTGCACTCACAGACATCATCATTCCCAGCACTCAGCATCCCACCCCTCTGCCAGCCCCGATGGCAGCTGTGCCACTTGCACCTACTGTGAGAGCCCACCTGCCTCCATGGGAGCACGTCCAGTTCTGGCCCAAGCCACGTACCAAAGGCACAGAGAGGGGCAACACGCTGACTGTCGGGACACTGACCACACCAAAGTCATCACAGACAGCAGCTCCATGGGGAAGGGACAAGGACAGCTCTGCCAGAGGCTGGTCTGAATGGAGAAAAGATCAAGAAACCATCACCACTCCCCCCAGTCCCATCGTCTTGGGCTCTGCAAGCACAAACCATTTTGCAAAGCCCAGAATAGTTGGAGGGAAATTGGCTGCTTTCACTGTGCTGGCAAATTCTGACGCTTTTATTCCTTGTGAAGCTACTGGGAACCCCCACCCAGCAATACACTGGACCAAGATATCGTCAGGTGAGCTCAATAAACCTCTGTAGTTACATTCCACTAGAGTCCTAAAATTTGACAGCTGTTCTGTGTGCCAAACTCAAACACTGTTTCATTTTAAAGCACTATAGAATACCAGTGAACAGCGAACTTGGAAACAGTGACAGAGATCCAACACTTGCTGGAGTGTCTGAGTGCTGATTCTGGAATAGCTCTCTAGGGAAAGGATAAAAAAATAATCTATATTTAACTATATTTATTTATGTGCTTATTGTGGTAAGATTTAAATATTTGTTGTGTGTTACCTGCTCTTCCAGAACAGAGAGACAAATGAAAAGAAAAATCTGTGGTAACAAACCCTCAAATCCAGTTACAGCTGTGCCGGGTTTGGATCGCAAAGCCCCATCTCTTTTATCCAAACTTTGTCTCTGCTGGGGACTCAGCTTTGTCACTCCATATGCAAAATACTCTGATTTTCTCTGTCTTATCACTTTTGTCTTGGTTACTGGGGCAATGCAGACCAGGGCAGGGAACAGGTATTCATGGACTGAATTAAACTAGAAGATTAAACTAGAGGAAGGTTCTGACACGTCACCACTGTCCCCTTTTCCGCAGTTCCCGACACTCCAGGGCGCGGCGGTGCCGGCAGGTGGGTGGTGTTTGCCAACGGGACGCTGTCCATCCCCCAGGTGGGCCTGGGGGACCGCGGGCAGTACCTGTGCACCGCGGCCAACGCGCTGGGCACGGCACGGCTCCTGCTCACCCTGTCGGTGGTGGCCTACCCGCCCCGCATCGCCGGCACCCGCCACCGGCTCCTCACCGCGCACGCCGGCAACACCGTGACAGTGGCGTGCAGGGCCGAGGGCAGGCCCCCTCCCACCATCTCCTGGGTGCTGGCAAACAACACCCACCTCTCCAGCTCCTCCGCAGGACATGACAAAGCTCACGTGGAAGCAGACGGCACTTTAGTCATCCGGGAAGTCACCGTGTATGACAGGGGCCTCTACACCTGCCTGGCCAAAAACCCCGCGGGCACCGACACGCTGGCTCTGAGGCTGCAGGTCGTTGTGGCCCCTCCCACCATTCTGGAGGAGAAGAGACAAAGCATGGAAGGAAAGATGGGGGAAAGCCTGAAATTCCCTTGCACAGTGCAAGGGAACCCTCAGCCCACTGTCCATTGGGTCCTCCCTGATGGCACAGCAGTGAAGCCTCTGCAGTTGGTACACACGAGGCTGTTCCTGTTCTCCAATGGCACCCTCCACCTCGGCAGCATCGGCCCTTCCGACGGCGGGAACTACGAGTGCATAGCCACGAGCTCCAGTGGCTCGGACAGGAGGGTGGTCAGCCTCGTGGTGGAGCACAGGGACACGCTTCCAAAGATAGCCATCACCTCTCAAGAACTGACTCACCTGAATTATGGAGATAAGTTGCTTCTGAACTGCACAGCAACTGGGGAGCCCAAGCCCAGGATCATGTGGAGGTTGCCCTCCAAGGCTGTGGTGGACCAGTGGCACAGGTACGAGTCTTTTTTTCTTCCACCTCTTTGGAACTTCAAATACTGTCTCCTCTGGTGGTCATGTAAAAGTGTGTTGCAGCACTAAAGCACTGTGAACTAAATTAATTTTTAAACATCCAGCAGCAGTGAAAATATCTGTGCTAATGGCTTGTTGTTATATGTCTAGTAACAGATCGTATCAATTGCCATAAGTGGGTGAGGTCTCCCCAAATCAAATATAAGTCATATTTGAATTAAGGGAACTGCTGTTATTATGCCCTGGCTGACTGTTGCCAGTTTAGAGGAGAAGTTTTATGTACCAGATTTGCAAAGTAGGGCTCAGGAGGAAGAGGCTTCTGTAGCCTCTGATAAGTCTACCTTTGGGGGTCTCCCCCCACCCCCTCCCACAGTAACACTTCACCTTTGCTTTGGGAGACAGTCCCAGCTCAGGGTGTTCCCAGCAGAGTTAACCCAGTGGGCAGGCAGGTGGTGTGGGCACAGTGCCTTTGGAGAGAACCTCTGTGTCCTATCGTGCTGTTGACACCTTCAATCCCTTCCAGTGCTCAGTATTCACCCCCAGCACTTGGTTCCATAATTCTTTTCCTCTCTCTCCCCCCATAACAGAATGGGAAGTCGGATCCATGTCTACCCCAACGGATCCCTGGCTATTGAGGCAGTCACTGAAAAGGATGCAGGTGATTATCTGTGTGTCGCAAGAAACAGACTTGGGGATGATCTGATCCTGATGAAAGTCAGCATCACAATGAAACCTGCCAAGATTGACCACAAGCAGCACTTCAAGAAACTGGTGCCATACGGCAAGGATTTCAGAGTGGACTGCAAGGCCTCAGGGTCGCCCACGCCAGAAATATCTTGGGGTCTGCCAGATGGAACACTGATCAACAACGCAATGCTGGCGGATGACAGCGGGCACAGGTCCCGCAGGTACGTCCTCTTTGACAATGGGACTCTGTACCTCAACAAAGCTGGGGTGACAGAAGGAGGAGATTACACCTGCTATGCCCAAAACACTCTGGGGAGGGATGAGATGAAGATCCGTGTCACAGTCATCGTGGCAGCCCCTCAGATAAAGCACAATTACAAGACATATGTTACAGTGTCAGCTGGACACACGGCACTGCTGGACTGTGAAGCTGCTGGAGATCCCAGGCCACAGATATTCTGGTTGCTGCCTTCCAGTGAGATGATCTCCTCGTCCACAGGCAGACACTCCCTGCACACCAACGGCTCTCTCTCCATCAGCCACGTCAAACTGCTGGATGCTGGGGAGTACATGTGTGTGGCTCGGAACCCTGGTGGGGATGACACCAAACTGTATAAGCTGGATGTGGCTGGTAAACCCCCCATCATAAACGGCTTATACAGGAACAAAACAATCATGAAGGTAACAGCAGTGAGGCACTCAAAGAAACACATTGACTGCCGGGCAGAGGGGACACCTGCCCCTCAGATTATGTGGGTCATGCCTGATAACATTTTCCTAACAGCCCCGTATTATGGGAGCAGGATCGTGGTGCACAAAAATGGGACACTTGAGATTCGGAATATCAGGCCTTCGGACACGGGGGATTTTATCTGTGTGGCACGTAACGACGTGGGAGAGAGTGTGCTGGTGGTGCAGCTGGAGGTCACAGAAATGCTACGGCGACCAATGTTCAAAAACCCATTCAACGAAAAAATAATAGCAAAACCTGGGAAAACTATCACACTGAACTGTTCAGTGGATGGAAACCCTCCCCCAGACATAAGCTGGATGCTGCCCAATGGCACATGGTTTTCCAGCAGCATCAGCACGTCCCAGTTTCTCACAGGAAGCAATGGGACCCTGACCATCTACAGTCCCAGGAGAGACCAAGCCGGGCGGTACCGCTGTGCTGCCCGGAACCAGGTTGGCTATATTGAAAAGCTGATCATCCTGGAGGTTGCCCAGAAGCCCAATATCCTCACCCACCCCGTGGGGCTGGTGAAGGGCGTCAGCGGGGAGCCGCTGTCCCTTCACTGCCTGGCCGAGGGGAGCCCCAAGCCCAGCACCATGTGGACGCTGCCGGGGGGCCGCGTGCTGGACCGGCCGCAGGTCAGCGGGAGGTTCCTGCTGCTGGAGAACGGCACCCTGGTCATCCGGGCGGCCGCCGCCCACGACGGGGGCACTTACGTGTGCAGGGCCCGCAACGACGCCGGCGACTCCTCCGTGAGCGTTGCCGTGGCCGTGGCCGCCCACGCCCCGCGCATCACGGGCAGGCCCCCGCCCGCCCTGCACACCGTGCCGGGGGCGGCCCTGCAGCTCCACTGCACCGCCCTGGGGATACCCAAACCGGACATCACCTGGGAGTTACCTGACCGCTCCACGCTCTCCACAGCTCACCAGGGCCGAGGGTCTGGGGGTGAGCTGCTGCACCCCACGGGGACTTTGTTCCTCCAGAATCCCCGACCCTCCAATTCCGGCATGTACAAGTGCACGGCCAGGAACCCCCTTGGCAGTGACTTCGCAGTAACATATGTCCACGTCATCTGAAGTCAGACGTGCAGCAGGAATGATGGTGAACACGGGCTGCAGCTGGACTGAGGTCATCCTTGGAATGAGTTTAATCAAAGGCATCCAGAGGCACCGAGTGCCTGGAAAACATTTACAGTGTTCAGTCTGCAGTGACTGGGCAAAAGGAGAGAGGAAGGGGAAAATTAGCTCTAGCATTGTTAGCTAGCATTGCTTCTCTCCATGTTCAAGGGATTTAAATTAAAGCAAACTCTGCCAGCAAACATAGACTATCAAACACAATTTACTCTCTGGAAATGTACACAGAGAGCTCCTGTATGGACAGACTTTTTCAGTACTGCCCACCCGGTATGATTGTCATAAGCACAGATCATAGAGAACAAGAACATCTGGGAACTAAAGAGAAGGTTTATTGGGATGCAGATCACCTTCTTAATGTGTTTTAATATTTAGTATATTTTTTAAATAAATATTTCATGGTGAAACAAGTAGTGAAGTATTTTTAACAGGATAGCTCTGCTTGCCACAGTCTTTTCTGCAGAGCTGTGGTATGACACAGGCCAGCTTTGGACTCAGTTTGGAACAAGAGAGGGAGCTCTGCTCAGCACTGTTAAGCCATTGCACACAGACTGGGTGTAGAACCACTGCAGCTCGGCATCATTTTCTTATTGCTACAAAAGCATTTTTTTAAAGTTTCTCACTAGAAAACAATTGCTTGAATTTGTGACTCAATTTAGAATTGTGATTCCTCAGTTCAGCAGCCACACAGGCCTAAAAAGGAACTTCTGTACCTGATGGGAAAATCCCTTTGTGATGGTAGGAAATGGTTACCTGCCCATTTCACACTGGCCAATCTCAGAGTGGACTGCTCAAATCAATTTTTAAAATATTTAAGCCTGTAACTAAGGTTCAGAGTTTCTTATTTTCTTCCTAAGAAATACATTAATGCATGACAGAGGGCTCAAAATACACACACAAATTCCCCTCTTAAATTTGGGAATCTATGTGTGGTCAGGGCACAAAGGGTTCAGTGAATCCATCCTTGACATCAGCCACACAGAGTCAGTATTCCCTTGTTCCCTCCTTCCACAGCACTGATGGATTGGTGGCCACAGAGGGGTTGGATGACGTGAATCTCAACAGTTAATCTCTGTAATAGCTTAAGCTACTAAAAAGAGCAGTAAATATCCTTTAAAAAAACGAACAGAAGTAACTTTTACATGAATGAGACTCAACTGTTGTAAAAGCCAATCAAAATCTACAGATTTCCATGTAGTGAGTTATAGTTATATTACATATATACGATGTATACAAGATATAGATATACTATGCATCATTAGCTGGCTGTGCTGGCCCAGGCCCTCTGAAGCATGTGAGGTGCAGCCTTTCCCCTCCCCACACAACACCTGGCTATGACACCATCCATAGCCTCCTTGTATGGTCAGTTAAGCAAACTGAGTTAGTGAAAAATAGGGAAAAAATATTCCCAGAGTATTTTAAATGCCCTTCAAGTTCCACTTTCAAAATGAATGCATTAAAAAAAACCAATCATATAGAATAGCTCCTAAATGACATAAAGTAATAATAAATTTATTCTGGTTTTTCACCTCCAGTATGGGCAAAATTATGATCTGTTTGCACAGGTTTGAATAACAGTGACTTGTTTGTGGTGATTTTGGTTGATAATTTGCCTGTGGATTTGTACTCACTGATGATGCAGTGCCTCGTGCCAGCCATCGATTCCCACCTGGGGTTGGGAATTCCTGCCGTGCCCCGCTGGTACTGACACAGGTGACAGAACAACTCCTCCAGGGAAAGGAGGATCATCCAAAGGCTGTTGGCTCCAGGACAGCTGAACCTCCGGGAAGGACTCGGGGGCTCTGCCACACTCACGCTGGGAGGGCTGGGATGGGACCAGTCCCTGCTGGCATGGGGGAGACACGGGGGGTCACCTCCCACCAGGCCCCACCAGGACTCAGAGATTCCCTACGGGAATGGAGCAAAGCCCCCCTGGAGCACTCAGTCCCCATCACCCCGGGACCATCCCCTGAGAGCTTCGGATGACAGACCCCAGATGAGAACAGTCACTTCCAGAAGGTTTATTAACGTGACATTGTGGCTTTTAATATAAACTTTAAGAAGTTCTAATACAAGCAATAAACCCACTTCAGCACCTTCTTACCACAATAAGAGCAAGAGGAATTGGTACTTTAAACAAAGAACTTTATAAAGTGCATGTGAAAATCACAGTCAAATAAACACGATTTGAACTGATGCTTGTTCTACCAACAAAGAAAGAGGTGAACATTTTAATGAACAAATTAACTTCTATGCCAAAATCTGAAGTGCCTTTCAGTTCAGTAGTTTGGTCCAGTGCAGTTCTTTTTTTTTTCCCAAAAAAAAAAAAAAGGTTTCCCCCACAAATAAATAAATAAATCCAGCATTCTTTGTCCTCTTTAAAAGTAACAGGACCTAAAAAGCACCAAATTCATAAAATCTGCGATAACAAATATGCCCACAAGTCCATACACTGAAATCTAGTTAAATGCAAAAATAACCCCAAACCCACCTTGTTACATATTCACATCAATTCAGCACAAAAAATAATGATGGAAATAAGAAGAGAGCTCAAGTCTGCTGTCTAACCATGAGCAGTACATTGAATTTCCAGAGTCCCGTTCCTCAGTGCAAAGGTCCCCTGGGGCCCCCCCAGCCACGGTCAGAAGTGGGGTAACCTTGCTGTGGCTGGTTACCTGGTGGAGGAAGCAAAGGGGGTGACTGTACCAAAATACGGAAAAACACCTGTATTTGCTGCAGCAGTGGCAAAAAACAGGCCACACACCCCTCCTCCCCTGAGGCCAGAGGCACTCACTGCCCTGGGGACCTTTCCTGCGGAGGGTGAGGGGGCCCAGCCCCAGTCCTGTGTGGGGGTGACAGGACCACCCCATGGGCTGCCCCAAACCCAGGGCTTTGGTGTCACGTCAGGACGGGGACAGGTACCCACTGCCAGTGGGTGAACGACCTCCGTGTACATCTGGTAGCAGGTGAATAGGCAGGAGATCTCCAGAAAGGTAATTTCGTGTTCAAACACACATTTCCACAGTCTGTGCACACACTTACTGGAGAGCTGCTTCTGGAGCTGCCGGACCAGCGCCGCCGTCTGCTGCTGCTGCGGGGTCTGCTGCAGGCCCGGCCTGGGGAACTGCAACGGGAACAGCCAAGGTGAAGGGACCCACACGGTGCCCCTGCCACGGCAGGAACCACAGGGTGCTGGGCTGGTGCCACCCCGGCACAGGGGCCAGGGCGTGGGGAGGGCAGCGAGGGCAGGTGGGTGTCCTGGTTGGGGTTTAACAGCACAGCAAGGACACAGGGAGCACCCTCAGAGCTCACAGAACATCTGTTCTCTGCCTGCCCTGAAACCTCACACTGTTCAGCCTGGGGAAGAGAAGGCTTTGGGGAGCCCTCACTGGCCATGGCCATGGCATTAGGCACAATGTGATGAGCACCCCAAACCCAGCCTCTATCACCCATCTCTGACTCACCCTCAGGTCTCTCAGCTCAACAGGTCTGCCTCCTAAATCCCAATTTTTGTTTTTCTCATTAGGTCTAGTGCAAATGCACATGCTTCTAATTTTAATTAAGTGATTCTCCTGCACAGGGATACATGATGCAGTTTGGAAACCTGAGGTGCTGAATAAAATTTGAGTAATCCCATACCTTAATAACTCTGTGGGCGCTGCAGAAACCGCCCGAGCTTTGCTCAGCAAAACCTTGTGCTTACTGAAGGCAGTTTCAGCATTTTACAAGACTTCAGCATCTTTTCCCTTTCTGAAACCAAATCCTTCACTTAAAATATGTTGTGTAATCTCCTGGCTACCAGGCCATAGTAAGTGCTAGGTTAGTCAAAGGTATTAGCCACCACACCGGGGTTTTTGGGAACACAAACCCAACCCACAGCACCTTCTGCTGTGCAGATGTTGGCAGAGGAGCCTGTGCTGAGCAGGTGCCCATTGCTGTGACACTCTCCCAGCAGTTTGTTCAAGATATAAAACCTATTAAGAAAAACTCAAAAATGGATGAAAATTATCTAAGATTAATGCTTTTAAACTTGGAGGCTGCAATTTCACCATTACTGTATTTTTTCTACTTTTCTAGTTATCCTCACCTACCCTAAATGTGTTTGGAAAAACTGTGGAAAAAAAGGGAACAAGCATAATGAGATTGTAAATTCAGTAGATGTGTCCAGAAAAATTACTTGGTAGTGATTGGGTCAAATCATTCCCTAAACTATCAAGGGCTCCAATCAAGCAGAAAGTTGTGTCTCAAAAGTAATTCAGTTTGTGCAGCTGTCTTCATGCAGCTCTGGTTTATGACTAACTATATAATTTAAAAGTATCTTCAAAAAATAAACCCCATTTTTCCCCTAGCCTGTTAGCAGTACATCCCAAAAATCCAAGGTGGGAACAGGCACCTGTGATGGGACACGGCAGGGGCCGGAGCTCAGCCGTGGTGGAGCTGCCAGGGCACGGGGCTGCTCCACAAACACAGCACAAGCACGAGGGGCAGTGCCAACCATCAGCACCTCACGTGGCCAAGGGAAGGCTTCCTCGTGCACAAGTGACAGAGCCCACCCTGTCCCTCCCCACACCCCCCAAAACACCCCGAACACTCTGCTCACCAGCGGCTGCTGTGCCTGCAGGGGCTGGAGTCCAAGAGCCAGCTGCTCCTGCTGCTGCACCTGAGAGAAGGTGGGCACTGAACAACAGGGACATGGCCCACACTGTCTCGGGGACTCGCCTCCAAATTAAAAAATATCACCAAACCAGAATAGAGGAGATGGGCCAGACCTGCGAGAGGCCCTTTGGTTTAATGTCACTGACATTGTAAGGCCAGACAGGGAGCACACAACCACCACCTCTGCCCAGCACATCCAGCCAGGCCATTCTCAAAGCTACCTTCTCCAGGGGTATTCCCTAATCCAGAAAATCCAGGTACAGAGTTTTACACGTATGTCCAGAGCTCCCTTCTGGAAGTCCCAAAAGTAAACAATGAATGACTGCACTCAGGGAAAGGCAGGTGGGGTTTGTAGCACCAAGCTCTGGAGTTTCAGACTCGAAGACCTGTGCGAGCGAGTGTGTAACGCTCTCACTGACACAGTGATGCTCACACCCTCTACTCTGTCACAGCCCCTGCTCTGTCACAGCCCCTGCTCTGTCACAGCCCCTGCTCTGTCACAGCCCAGCCCTCACCTGGAAGAGCCCCTGCTGCCTCTGCCTGCCCGGCTCCAGCGGCTGCCCTGTGCTCAGCCCAGGGTGTGGCCCCACGGCCAAGGCGCCGTCCAGTCCCCCTCCAACCAGGGAACCCGTTTGCAAAGGCTGATGGCTCAGTCTGGTGGGGAAAAAATGACAGATTAAACTTCATTTACAGAGCACAATGGTCTGGGAGAACTCGACTGTAGCTGCGACATCAGACTTCCATAGATTTCAAAGCTGTTCCATCATACATTGCACAATAAACCGTGCCATACTATTGCCCAGTAACTGACAGAGGCAATAACACCTTCCCCTGAACAGGAGCAGACCCAAGCATTCAGCTCTTGCTTGTCTAGGAACAGTGATGAGTTTCTACATCCCAAGCAATTCCACATAAAGACTAAAATATTTTCCAGCCCAAAACATCTCAGTGTTCCATCACCATAATTGAAAATGAGCTATCACAAGTGGACTTTTTACTTTCTAAAATACTGGAAAACCCTGAAATTAATAGTCCTTTTCTAGAATACTGAAAGATGTTAACTATGTCATCAATTTAGCTTAGCTGGTTAGCTCAGCACAGACAAGGCAATCCAGGCCAGTAGCTTCATTCCTAACACAAGGCACCCTGGAGGTTTGCACACAAGGCTGTCAATTGAGCCAAGGCCAAACTTTTTGAAGACATGCAAGCATACTCAAAGCTGTGAATACTCTTAAACTTGCAAGAACTTAGAAGAAGTTAAGGAATCAGTGATTATTGCAGAATATACAGTAAGGTTCACAGCTCCTGAAACAGTGATTTCATTAAACTAAACCAGGGGTTGAGGGAGAATTGCACAGCTCCATACAGGACAAATCCATATTCTGCTTATGACAACATAGCTGGACTGTTAGTTGGACTGCACCAGGCTGTTAGAAAAGAAATCTGAATCAAGGCTGTGATTGGAAACTCCAGTTCTCCACTCTGCCAGCTCCATGACACTCCCTTTGACAGATTTCTTTCCTGCTTCACTTGCCTTCTGTTTGGTCACATTTCTTTACCAATGAATTTTTCCTGTTTCTCATAGGCACTGCAACTCAGCTGTGCTTCTCAACTGAAGGCAATCCCATCTACTCAGGCTTAGCAAAATTCATTTGCCTCTTTCTAGTTGAATTACCAGGTTGGTCTTGTGCTTTCTTGACTACAGACTCTTTGGCAAACCTAGAATATTGATTTTTTAATACCACACACGTGTTTGCATAATATGGATTCCAGATCTGTGTGTGTGGGGAAATAGGATCCAACAGCCGTTTTTAAATGAATTTCTATATTCTACAACCACACAGGACAGCTGGACTAAAAGGTGTGCCAAGATCAACTTGAAATCAAAGTTAAATGAGGGAAAATCACAGGGAAATTGGAGAGAAAGGCATCTGTATTGCTAATTAGATGTGGTGTTAACCTCATTTTGGTCAATGAGCAACCTGAGCAACCTGGTCTAGTGGAAGGCATCCCTGCCACTGCAGGGATTGGAACTGGATGGTCCTTAAGATCCCTTCCAACCCAAACCATTCTGATTCTATGATTCTATTATTAACAGACTTTATTCTAACCCCGGCTCTCCCCACCCTGTTCCCGGGGTTCCCGCTCACCGCGGGGCTCCGGCGGGGCCGTAGGTGTGCGGCTGCTGCGGGAGGTACGCGGGGTGCCGGTCCTGCCGCAGCTCCATCAGCGCGGGGCAGCCGGGGGACAGCCCCACAACGGGGGACAGCCCCACGACGGGGGACAGCCCCACAACGGGGGACAGCCCCACGACGGGGGACAGCCCCACGACGGGCTGCTGCTGCTGCTGCGCCGGCACCGCGCTGCCGAACAGGGTGTATCCGTGGGGAAGGCTCTGCAGAGAACGACACGAGTGACTGCACCGGGCCGGGGGGAACGGCCCCGCTGCAGGAGAGGCGGCCTCGCCGAGGAGCCGGAGCCCGGAGATCCAGAGGCAACTCAGCGAGAGCTGCAGTGCTGTCCCCACACACCGACCCACCTGTCCCCCACACTGGTGGGACCCCCCTCTGTCTGCGGGTTCAGGCAGCTGACACGCGGCCACACGTGGTCACTCGCTGTCACACGTGGTCACTCACTGTCACACACAGCCATATGTGCAGGTTGGAACCCCCACTGTACTGCCTTCCCAAGAGGTGCTGAGCAGGAACAGGACTCTGCTCCAAAACTCCATCTCTATTTTCCTCATATCCCCCCAAAATCCCGAGTACCAGAATAACCATGACATAATAGAGTTACTGCTATCATCTCACCAAAAACTGGCCAGATTTCCAGCTTAACACTGAAATATGCTTATTCCCAGCAACAACATCAGGAAAACCTGGGAAGTGGTCACACCAAAAACGTTCATGAGCCACCAGACGTGGAGGCCATGAGCATCCCAGGAGGAGGCCTCGCTGGTGCCCCCAGCCACAGGCAGAGGCACACCCCAGGCACAGGGAGCAGGCTGGGGAAGGGTGCCCTGTTTATCAGCATTCCCATGCAGGGGCTCCCAGGATGAGGCAGTACCTGTGCCTGTTGCAGCCCCGAGTACTGAGGGAGCTGGGACGGGGGTCGAGCCTGCGGAGCGAAAACTGCAGCTTGGTCCATCGGCTGGCCCTGCAAGACACAGCCATCAGATACAACCCCTTGAACAAGTCTGGCTCTGGACACAAACCCCACCAAGTTGTGCCCTAAAGAATCATGGAGTGACGACCATTTCCTTCAGGACAGCAAGGCTGCTCAGTGCAAGAGCTCTAAATGTGGAGAGGACCCCTCACCCTGCACAGGACACCACTCATTCTATACAGAATACTCAACGATTTTTAACAAGTCATATTGTCGAAGACCTCGCACCACAACTATTCGTTTCCAAGAGTACAGGTCTAAAGAGCAGAGTCCCTCTAGATGGATTCTACAGAACTGTCCCCACCACTGCCAGGGATTTCAAGCTGGCAATAATTTTTCCAATAAAACTATTGTCACTCAGCTGCAATTTAAGCACTTCAGAGGCCTTTGCATGGATCACAGCAGGAAATCAGAGAGAGATGAGAAGGATAATGAGAAGCTGTAACAAAATAGAGACAGCTGGCAGAATGACAAGGATATTGCTGAAATTATGAACTATTTTGAGCAAAGAGGGCATGGCACAGAGTTTGGAGCAAGACAGCAAAAGGGCAAGGTACTATATACTGCAGTGGGGTAAGAAAGGATACAGAAAGGCTTGGGAGTAAAGACAAAGTTATTGGATTTACCACCAGCTACTGCACACACAGTGCTGGTTCTTTAGGATCCAAACCCCAACTGCCTGTGCTTACACCATCAGTCTCAAATCAGCCTGTCTGTAACCACAGTGAGAACCAGCTCAGGCTCCCAGGGGCACTGCACAAGAGCTGTGTGTGGTCTGGCACCCAGCCCCTGTACCCTGCAGCAATACAGATATTCCTGGGCAACACAGGCACCTGTGTGCACACAGGGACAGGCACAGCTCTGCTGGGCTCCCTGGGCACTCACTGTGCACTCACTGGCAGCTTGGTGGCACCTGGTGCCTGTGATCCTCTGAGAGCCTCGGTGACACAACAGGGAACAAGGGCGGCATCAAGGGGCAGGAGCAAACCCTGAGTTTATGGAACACAGGAAAAATAAAGGGACTAAGACATCAAATGACATTTAAAGGCAGTTGGCCCTGCTAGACTAATATTTGGGGAACTGCTGTAACCATGAGCTGGCTCCCCCCTGTAAGCCAGGCAGGGCACACAGCCCAACAGGGGCAAACCCAGTGTGCTGCTCCTCTGACCGAGGGCTTGGACAAACCTGCTGGAGAGCCCGTGCCTGCACCTGCTGCCGCAGGAGCTGCTGCTGCTCTTCCTGCAGGAGCTTCCTCTGGAGCAGCTGCTGCTGGGGTGGGATCCCAGGGACCGAGGGCGGCTGCATCCCGGAGCCCGAGCGCCGCTGCAGCATGTTGGACAGAGCTTGCTTCGTGTTCACTGGCACAAAGGAGCCTGTTGAGTCCACCCCGGAACCACCTGAAAACCACCCAAAACACGGATGTATCCTCTGCCTTCCCTAAGAGCATCGCTGGTACAGAGCACTGCTAATCCAGCAGCTCTACACAACCATGATAAACACATCTCTGCAAAGGCAAAGTCTGGACTAAACCACATTTCTGGCCTGAAAATTTAATGGGAAAAGTAATTGAAGACTGCCACTTGCAAATGAGAATGAAAAGTACAAAGCCTATGGACTGCTGTATGTTCTATGCCACACAAAACATCTCACTATTACCACTGAACAAAAGTTGCATGTCAGATCCAAAGCATGATATGAACAGCTTAATATGTCAAGCTAATTTTATAATGAGATGGTAGCACTCTCTGCTATTTGATAAAAATCACGTATCTTTCCATCAGACTTACAAAGGTGATCTTACACATCTGTTCTCAAAAGCAGCATTTCCTTGAACTTTTTAGCCACTTTCTGGTATATTCTGAAGACTTTTAAACAGTTAAAATACAGAGTAGTTGTATTTGGAGCTTCAGAAAAAAAATATTTAACATTTATAACTGGAAAAAAAATTGTTAACTTCTCCTGCATAATTTTGGAGAAGCCTTGATAGTGTTTCTCAAATCATAACAAACTGCTGCCCTCTGGAGCCAGTAAATCCTTATAAAACTGTAACTCATTAACTGGAAGAAACAAGACAATCCTATGCAAAATTAAGCACATATCAGAAATGCTGGAAAAAATGTGAGCCCATATCTAGCAGATGGTAAATTAGCCACCACGGCTCTTGGTATTAATCAAAAAAGAAAACCCACAGGACTTTTGTTCTTTCAATCGTCCCTCTCTTGTGTCACCCCACCAGCTCTCTTACACTGCCCCCACAGGAACTCCTTGTGGCTCATGTGCCCAGAAAGTTCAACACCTTCACAGAGACAGAGCTACAACTGAGGGCAGCAAAGCCCTTCGAGAACCCTCGGCTGCTGAAGGAATCACCCCAACGGCACCGGCGGCACAGCCCGTGCCAGAGAGAGGGAGAAGCAGAGAGAGGGAGAACCAGAACGTGTCCCAGGCGGGGTTTATCCCAGGCCACCCGCAGGGCTGTGCCCTCGGAGCCGCCCGTACCTGGAGCCAGGGGCTGGCCCTGCAGGAAGAAGCCGGGCTGCAGGGGGGGCCCCCCCAGGCTGTACCCCCACAGGGCCGGGGGGGCTGCGTGAGCCATCGGCGGCGGGGAGCAGGAGGGAGGCACTCTGTACAGGCTGGGCCGGGGGTAGTCCTTAAAACACACACAAAAGGCAATGTTACTGACACTCACCCCTTACTAACTCATAAATAATGCTGATTTTCCTACTGAATTATTGAAGGACAGAGACAGTTCCTTTGTCATTGGCAGTGATGTAAAAACAAGATGAAGTCTGGTGATTCCTACGGACAGCTCCAGGCACACCCCAGCCAGGGGTGCTGATTAGCAGGTACCTTCTGCAGGCTATGGTCAGGTGGAGCACAAGGACAGCTCACTGTACCAGGATATAAGTAACAGCAAGAACTTCACTGAAACATCAAAAAGGCCAGAAAATTATCTTGAAATTACAGCGACTCAAACCACAACACTTGGACAAACCAGCTGGATGTTGAGGGAATACCAGCACATCCCTGGACAAACCAGCTGGGCACATCCACACCAGGGATGCCACACTGGCAGCAGTGTGGAGAGGCTGCAACCACACAGAACTCTGCTGCTGGAAACATACATCATCATTATTATTATTATCATTCAGGTGGTGCCAGACATGTTTTCAAACCCTTGTTCTAAGTGACTCTTCAGCTTAGGAACTCGCTACTCAAACCCCAATACAATGAAAAGGAAAGTATCTCAGAAACCAGACCAAACTGCACAGTAGAACAGTTTATCTGTGTGAAAGAGCCTTTTCCAAATTGGTTTCCATTTGAACAGGACCTGGGTTTAAACCAACAAGTTTGATCTCCTCCTGGCCATCTCCGTTCCCTCCCTTCACTGGGACTGACTCCTCCGGGTGCAGAACCATTTCCAAAGGCAGAACCAAACCACACCAGCTGCTCTGGGGAGGTGTTTCAGGTTCTGTGTGGCACCAACCACTCACCTCAGCCCTGGAGCTCGACTTTGACTTCCGCTTCCTGCCCTTTGCCTTCTTCTCGTCATCCGTGGCGTGTTTTCCCTGGTCCAAGAGCTCTCCCAGCTTTCTTTCTGGTTCCTGAGACACAGGTGTGGTGGGCTCTTCCTCCTCCTCCTCTGGAGGAAGGGGCAAGGGCTCGAGGTAGTAGCTGCGTGGTTTGGGTTTGGGGTGTGTGTGGTACAGCAGCAGGTGCTGCTGCTCCTCGTATTTGATCACCTTCCTGTCCACATGAACAGTCCCAAACCATGCCCAGGAGAGAGGGGCAGGGTTTTTGTGACCTTCAAATAAATCCCAAGGGGACACCTTTTGTTTGGATGACACCTGAAGACCCTGTTTCAGAAGCAAAGGGAAATCAAGATTTGAGAAAATTGAACAACAGACTTGTACATGATTGATTGAGTTAGAAAAATCCAGTAAGGATGTTTTCCCTCCACAAAATGCACCAAATGCACATGAGTGGGATTTTAACCTCTGTCCAAGGCTGCCATTAGAGGAAAGCAATTATATTTTTATAGGAGCATTTGCTTATAGCCATGCTAAAAACCTCAAGTTCCATCTATGATATTTTGGAGGAAAAGTCAAATATCTATCAAAAATCTGCTGATCAGAGAATACTCTTGCTAAAAGTTTACATATTCAAATAAGGGGAGGAATCCTAAGCACTATGTCACCAAACCCTACCTGCCAAGTCTGTAGAATGAAGAGCTCTACCCTAAGCTCTATCCTTCTCTTTTACATAAATTCACTTTAAAAAAATTATCCATGGACATGTCACCCACAGCTTCTCTGGTCAACCTGTGCCAACACCTCATCACTCACACAAGGAAGAATTCCTTCCCAGTATCCTATCTATCTCCCTGTCAGTGGGAAACCATTCCCCCTTGTCCTGGCAACTCCAGGCCCCTGTCCAAAGTCTCTCTCCCACCCTCTTGAGCCCCTTTAGGCACTGGAAGGGGCTGTAAGGTCTTCCTGGAGCCTTCTCTTCTCCAGGTTGAAATATCTGGAACAGAATTGCATCTGATACCGAACACCCTGTCACCTGCAACTCTTTTCAAAGGTGTTATTTGACAAGCCCAGCGTTCCTCAGTGCTGGCAGCACTGCCCACGGAAAGCCCATCTGTGTAAGGGCCCACACTGCTGGGGGACTGGGAGGGTGTCTCACAGCCTTCACCACCCTGCCCAGGAACACCTGCACTGCACAGGCTGTGCCTGCTCGCGCGGAATTCCTGAGCTTCCAGACCCAGGGAAAGGGAGGCCGGACAAACATTTGCTCTTGCCTGTTTCTTGTCAATGGAGTCAAAGCCCGCGACCTTGTTGCCCTTGGTGTCGATGAGGGACCCCGTGGGCTCACAGGCCACGATGTCACACGTCAGCCGGGGCAGCGGCAGCAGCTGCCGGACCCTGTCGATGCTCTCGGACCTCTTGTCCCCCAGCTCCTTCTGGGGAACAAACACACCCGTCAGCCAGACACGGGGGACAGGAGAGAACATGGCACTGCTTTCACTATTAGAAATGTCCAGTTTCTGCATGAATCATTTCCTTGTACTTTTATTAAATTTAAGCAAGTGGCTTTGCAAGGGTTTTTTTTGGGGTTTTCTCTTTGTTTAAAGAATGTAAGTTTTCTTTTCATCTCTTGTTTAAACACAGTGTAGAAAATACATAAAACAAAATTAGTATATCAAATGTAAATAAAAGCAACTGAGTGTCTTGCAGAGTCCCCAATTTTAATTGAATATTAAGAAAATCCTAGAAGTATCTTCCCACCTCCACACTCCTGTATTTGTATTTTCTTTTTTTTCTCCTTTTTATGACTAGGTATGTTTTAGTCTCTCCTGTATTTCCAAGAGGCCTTTCCAGACACTAGGAATGACATGATTAAAAGATGAGGGCAGACAGCAATTCAAAGGAAATGTTGAAAATGAGACATGACCCTTACTTTTAATTTTTTCACTAAATTCATGTAAGCCCTTTTGTTCTCCTCAGGCCCTCCTTGGGAGGCACTGGACAGGTCCGAGGCGAGTGTCCCATTGATGAGGACCCCCAGCATGTCCAACACAGTCGTGAACAATTCCCTGGGAGCAAAAGCAAGCGTTACCCTGAGGAACCACAACTGCCAGGAGATCCAGGCACAGATATTCATGGCAGAGGCCCCAGAGGAAGCTCTTGGCCAGGCTGGGTTTCTCGGGGCTTTCTGTACACACACACACCCTTGAGCTCACATTCCTGAGCCCCACTGTACACATGAGGTGGACACAAATCTCATCCTAAACCCCAGCTCAGAGCCACAGACAGTACAGACTGCCAACAGAGGCATCAGGAATTACAGACTCAGGGGAGCACTCAGGCATGGGATAGGTAAGGAAGGGTGTGAATGGCACCTCCAAGGCTTTCCCAAATGGAGGTACCCCTACCCCAGGCCAGCACAGAGCCCTAAACCCCACTCAAGCAGTAACTCAAGGATAAAAAACTGTAACAATAACCCACATGTAACCTAAACTTAAAGGCCTAAGGACACAAATTAGCTGTTTGAACAGTGCAGACATACTTGTTGGTCTGCAGATCCACAGTCCCTGAGGTGATGATCTGGAGGAGCAGAAGGGCCCAGTCTGTGGTCCACTGGGTGCTCCTCTGCACTGTGTCAAACATGTCACCCACCTGCAAAACAACAGAGCAGGCAGCAAGGCTCTGCGTGGCTCAGAGCAGCTCCCCCTGGCTCCCTTGGCTTCCTCTGGTGCACGGATCCCTTAGGAATAAACAGCTGCCCCGTCCCCCCGGGAGCTGGATACTCTGGAGCTCCTTGCTCCTTACCACCTCCTCCAGAGTAGCTGCTGCATCTTTTCATAACATCAGGATAACCATGAGTTTTTGTTACCAGGTTGAGGCGCAGCTGCAGGGCTTCGTGCATCATCTGCCTGGCTTTGACATCGTCCTGGTACCGTTCCTCCCTCCAGTTACTGAGGATCTAAGAAAAAGCATTGGATTAAGGTTGCTTTCCTCCTGTAATGTTCTCCCTTTAAGCATTTGTGACCATTATCCATCAGGAATCATAAAAGACCTTTTTATCCTCTTGCCTGTTTAAGGCTTTGAGCAGATTTAACAAAGTGGTGGGAGGAAAAAGTTAATTTGTGAAGAGCTGATGATCTGCTGTCAGTGGTGTGACTGCATCTTCCTGTTGCAGAAAAAAAAAAATCAGCTTTGATATGCATTTCTTAACAATATTGTTTGAAACAGCCTATTTCACCACAGGTAAGTCAAGAGATCTCTTGCACTGGATGCAGCTTCTCAGTGGGATCTCTGGATGAGAAACAACCAGAAGCTCAAGGAACCTGGACCAGCTGCATTTCAGAGGAGAACCCTCACAGTGAAAGGAAAGCCCAAGCAGCAGAAACTGAGGGGAAAAAAACATCAAAGGAATGAATTTCCCCAGGATGTGGACCTGTGTTGTAGCCTGACCTGAGCCAAGGGGCAATATGGGAAAAAAAGTCATACAGGTACCAATTCTCACTGTCACAGCAGGTCACAGAAACTGAAGTCAGAGAAAGGAGACGTGACCCACTGGTCTGGGCACTGGACATGTTCAGTTCAAAGGCAGCCTGGAGTTGCTGCTGGAGGCTGGAGTGTGAGCTGGGTGGAAGCAGGAACTCTGGAGCAGGATGAGCAGAGGCTGTGAGTAAGCACAAGAAACCCAAAGCAGAGCTGCAGGCAGTGGCCAGGCTGGGACCAGGAACAGTGCTTTTTAAAATATGAAATCTCAATCTGTGTCAGCTGAAGAAGGTGACGAGTTTTCCCAAGAAGGACACCTTCAAACTTATAAAAACTCTTTAGGATCAAGATAGGGACTGGGAAGATTGTTCCTCTCAGGACTAACTCCCTTATTGTTTTTCCTGGAAAGAACTGAAATCAGACTCCAGTTCATTGTATTTCTCTGTAATAAATTTAGAAAAAAAGATGTATTCACATTCAAAAAAGGAACAAACACCTCCCCACTCCCCCCTCCTTGGATTGCTTTTTGGCACACCACTGCACTGTAATTTTCTTAGTTTTACACCATCATATACACATAAAACTGCTGACACACACACCCCTAACAAAGGTACTCATGGTTCTGTGCTTGTTTTACCTGAGTAACTTGATTCTGCAGGGATGTGAGAAGCCCTTCCCGTTGCTCATCCTGTCCCTTAAGGCAAGTGAGTACCAGTGACAGGAAAGGCTGCTGGCTCAGCAGGGACATGCTTTAGGAGAAGCAAACACAGCACTGCATTAGTGAAGTTATTTTGATACTTCCCATCTCGCTCCCTTCCTGTTTTGTCTACGCTTTCTCCCCTGAAGTGGCACTGCTGCATCTATGTCTGCTTCTATTTTAGTCAATAAAGTCTTGCCAGAGGAACTAAAGACCATGCCCCAGGAAGGCAGAGCCCCAGCCAGCCCAGATACACATGTTGTTACTGAGACCCCTGGCTCAGGGGGCCCTGAGTGACCAAGAACTGCCCACACACCTGAAGGCCTGACTCAAGAACAGGGCAGGTTATTTAAGACTACTTTGATTAACCAGGGACAACATTTTAACAGAGATAAGACAGCGAAAGTTTCTAATCCATGCTTCTGGTCTGAAGTGAACCCCAAGGAAGTTTCCCCTAGGAGCTCTGATTAGAACAAGAGCTGCCTGAATTGGTCTAAAATTCCAACGTGGGCTTAATTCAGTGGAACTTCTACCATAACCCCAAGGAAGTGCAAAAACATTACAGGCACCATGGAAGAATGTTTTACTGAAGGAAAATCAATAACCATTTAGTCAAAATTCTCACATGTTTTGGCAAGTTAGAGATGAGCTTAAGCTCAATTCCCAAGAGGAAGCAAGTGAAGTGACAATGGTGTGATCTTAACGCGAGCAAAGAGGCCTAATGCCACGTGAGGGAAGAGACAACAAGTGCTCTACCTGTTGCTTTACATCCCTAACATTTCCCATCACTGAGCTGCAGCACAGCCCCTGGCAGATGGGTTACAAAGCTTCTACATTTCCTCTTTTGGAACCAATGGTATTCCTTCAGCCCAACTGACACCTGAACCCTTGGAGTTGACAAAATTTTGAGTCCCCAGTAAACTCCTCCCTCACAAACACGGTTTAGCTCTGTCTGCAGGGGTTCCCCAAGGTCATACCTTTTTTGTTTCTGTCTATCTCTTTCCTTCTTAGAAGATGACCCCAAATGCTGCCCTTTCTCCAGCTCCTCTCCCGCAGCTTTCAAGACCCTCCCTTGAACCGAGGTGGGCAGTTTGGCAATCAGGGGGGCCACCAGCCACACTCCTCGCCTCTCAGAGGAACTAGGAGCAGAACAAACTTATTTCAGTCAAAATATGCAGGCAGTTTTGCAGCCACTATGAACTGTTACAAGACTGAACTGCTTCAATAAAGCAGTGGCACGGTACATCTGGGGTAACTAGTGAGGACTGAGCAGTCACAATTTCTGGTGTCCAGAAATTTCAAGAATAGCAACTACATTTATTGTCAAACAAAAGTAAATAGAAGGAACCTTCAGATAACTGTTTCTGTGCATTCCTGGTTCAAGTACAACACAGTCTAGGCAATCTACACACAGTTAAGCATCATGTTGGCTAGAAGAATTAAAAAGGTGCTACAAAAAATACCTTAGGAATGTCTTTTTACCATTCTGTCTTGTATTACTCGTGTCAGCATTTCCAACAGAGTTTGGACTGAAGAGGCCTATACCAGAGTTAGAAGAGTTATTGTTTAGCTCAGCGGATTGCTGAAACACCTCTATTGTCGCCTTTGCGATATTATCCAACAAGCTGTTCATTTCAGCCACAGCCCCAGAACCCTACAGTGAAACACAAGTACACTAGCACATTCATGGCATGTTTGCTCATGGACTACCTTAAAATTTAACATACTTTTTTGCATTAAATATTCAGATAAGGAAGTTTGAAAACCAATACTCACGGGCTCCTTCGTGCACTGTTTGATCATCAGCTGCAGCTCCAGCCACGACTGCCGCAGAGTCCACTGGTCTAAGTTCTAGGGGAGAATTAACATCACACATGTTAATTGTTAATGATATTAACATTAAAGTCAACATTTTACAGGTCTGAAGGAATGGATCTCATACTTGAACACATCACGTGCAGAAGTCTCATCTTATAAGCAGACCATCACAATCACTGATCTTTCTAATACTCTAATGACACACCAAAACATCAGAGCATTAAAGAACATGCACTTCCACACCTTTCAGCTAACACCATTCCTCGGTACTTTTAACCTCACAGCTTTTCTGAATAAGAATCTCATTCTCTGCAAAATCTGAATTTAGTTAAATGTAAATACAGAAAACGTAGTTCTCTCTTTCATTGGTAATTCCACCAATCCATAGCATTGCCATCCAAGTGGATAGGTCTGAATTTGGCATGAGGCCATCTAGACATGATTTTTTTTTGGAGGACATTGACCCGTATTTGTCCTGGTCCAGATATTGCTGGATTTTTCACAGGGCTATTCACAGGGCTATTCACAGAAAATCCATTTTGCAGTTTAGGAAATGAACTGTCCCTAATGCAGCTGAATATGAAGACAAGGTCAGCTTGGGACTGTCTGTGAAGGCATCTGAGCCTTTCCAATGGAGCAGGAGTGACTGTCAGCCCAGTACTGTCCCAGAGCCCCCCTGGGACAGCAGGAACCCCCTCCTGAGCAGCCCTGAGAGCGGCTCCCAAGTCCTGGCGAAGGGTGTGCTGCTCCTCCCTGACTCGGGATCAGAGGGAACGAGACACCCTGAGTCACACCACAAACCTTCCCTACAGAGACTGCAGGTCCTGAGCACCCAGAACCTTTAAAGAATAATCTAATACTTGGCTGCACCAGCAGCTGCAAATGAGTGTCCCTGGGTGGTGCTGCTGGCACTGCCCCAGCCCCTCACCTGAAGGATGCGCTTGATGTGCTGCCGCTGAGGGTTGTCACCCTCGGGGCACTCCTTAATGCCATGAGGATAACAGATAAGCTGAAGGAGTTTCTGTGCTTGTCTGTTTGAGAGAACGGGATCCAAAATAAGATCTTTGTCAGTGCACAGCCTCTCAGGTTCTTTCAAACAGTGCTCTCCGACCCACTCCTGTAAGGAGTCAAAGGACAGATTCAGCAGAGTTTCAAGGCAATACTCACTTTTGGTAAGCTGAACAGAAAAGTGATTGTTTCATATGCAAAACTTGCACTGAACTATGGCTCATGCCACATGTGAGATTAGCAATGTCTTCTGTCACTCAGAACCACCCATCTAAGACTGTTAACAGGTTTTCCAAAATTAATTTCTTCTGTACTTTGAGAGCAACTTTGCAATAACACAAATGCTACTGTAAAAGCCCTTTAAGCAGAAGGCTGATAGAGTGGTCCTTCTGTCTTCCCAAAGTACTTGAGATTGAGGTAGGAAAAACACCTCAGTTCTGAGAGTGCAGGGGGATGTTAGCAGCTAACTAAAGCATTTTTTAACCCAAATAACTCACTACTCCATGCATAAATTGTCCACATCAGGAAACTCCAACAGAACACAAATGCTGACATACTCCAGCACTAATTTTGCACCAAAATAGATGTTACACTTTTCAAATAAACAAAGCTCTTTCCCCAAATGAGGATGGAGGAGCAGTTTTGGGGCTTTACCTGCTGGCAGATGGTTCTGAGCACGTATCTCGCGTACTCGCTCAGACTGGCGGTTTCCATGGAAACAGTTTTTCTGCAGGATTTCAAAGCATGAGAGGAACCCCAGATTTCCTCCTCATTGAGCTCATCTAAGAAGCCTCTCACATGAAACTCTTCACTCTTCAAGGAGCTGACATTGTTGCTGCCAATTTCTGCATCACCTGTCCAGCAGAAGCACAGGGTGAACTCCCACCCCAGCCCCACACCCTCACCCCAGGGACAGAGGCCTTTGGGGCACCAGGAGCTGAGCAGCAGCGAGGCCATCACATCCAAAAGGGCAGCACTGGCTGACTCTGAACATCACCAAAGTACTGTCCTCTGGCTTCATGTTGCAAAGCATCTTTTTAATGGGTATTTTGGAAGTAGGAAAGGATTTATACAAATCAAACACAACTGTAGCCACCATGTGCTCAAAAGGAAAAGGTGAGTGAAAGGAACTGCTTTGGCAGGTAAGGAAGAGTTGAGTTATTAGGTCTTCTCAGATGCCCCTTTTCCAAGTCCTATCTCTTATTTTGATTTATTAATATTCTGTAGATCAAGAGACAAGTCTGACCCAGGGCCCCTCAGCCATTGAGTGACCCCTCAACCTTTCTATGAGCCCACATCTCTGTTCAGGAAGGATGAGAGGGAAGAACCTGGTAGGCAAATAATACAGTGAAGAGAGTGGAACCAAGGTCACATGAAGCTAAAGCCATCCCAGAAAGCTCTGATAAAACTGGAACAGCTTCCTCAGCACAGAACTGCAACAGCTACCATTTATCTGATGTTTTTCCTCAACAAAGCAAGTACAATTTTTAAAGTATTAATGCAGGGTGCCAACAACAGACCTCTCCAAATAGAATAGTTTGAGTCTATAGGAGGAGAAGTGCTGCAGTAAATGCACAATGTACCTAAACCTTCCCTTGTACTCCCTTGCACCAAACCAAACCATGTCTCTGCAGAGACAAAACCACAGGTGTTCACACCACACACAGTTAATGAAGAAAAATCCTAAATCTCAGCACTCTGAATAAATAGCAAGAGTACATAGATAATGGCCATAAACATTTTTCAATCTCTCTCTCCAATCCACCAGCCTGTCCCAGCTAGCTCTGCCTGTAACATCCTTCCCCAGTGCAGTCACATTATTAGGGGTCACAGGGGTTTTGAAGGTTCTGAGACACTGGCCAACAGACTGTCACAGTGGCACTCTGGCTGGAGGGACACCCTGTGGGCACAGCCACGGCTGGAACATCTTGGTTGTTTAACCAGACATTTACTGAGCTCCAAAAATACATCTCCCCAGAGGTCACAGGAACTTCAGCTGAACTGGAGCCAAACCAAAGCTCTGAGGCAGATACTCGTCTGGAAAACAACACCCACCCTTCATGGAGAGCTGCTCAAGGTGATGCTTTTACAACTTCCGCAACGGCAGACACTCGGGATTTGTGGTAAAACACAGAAAAAGGTGGGAAAACTTATCTGAGATCCTTTTTCCTCTCTATATGTGAGAGGGACTCGCCTGAGTTTGAATGTCCTGGCACTCAGTGGCAGAGGTCGGGGTCAACATCTGAAATAGTCACATCTGCTCAAAGCCTCTCTGCTGGGGCTGACTCACCAGGGAAAAATCTGTCTTTAACCTGGAGTCTGCACTCCCCACATGCTGCAGGAGCAGGGACAGCAGCCACATTCTTCCCTTGTCCTCAGGGTTTTCCCTCCCCAGGAGCATTCCCAGGGAAGGGAACTAGCACAAGCTGTTTTCCACCCAAACACTGGCACAAACACATCACACAGGACTGCACACTCTTACCAAGCATCAGAATTGCTTTCAAAACTGCAAACACAGCTCCCACTTCGATGCTGTTGTGAGCAGCAGCCAAGAGGTGACGGTCACAGGAAGAACGAATTCCAGGAAATAATTTCCCTACGGAGAGAAGAGCAGATTTTTGTAGAAAATGGGTGTTATTTACTAACATTTCCTTTGTGTGAAATCCTCCTCAGCTAGAACAGCTACAGAAGTACAAGAACTGAATGAAGAACTGAAATCTTCTGAAATTGAAAGTGCAGCCCAACAGGTAAGTCATTAATTCAGCTGGGATATGTGGTTATGATGGATTCATATCAAAATAAGCTATGGGCATTGAAATAGAAAAAGAAGCCTGTTGGTTCACTGTGTCCATGGGAACAGTGAATTTAACCACAATGAGACACTGAAGCCTATTTTGGTTTTGACTTCACAGACTTAGGAAATTACTTCCCTCACCTCATCTGTGTGACGAATGAGGCAGAATTCAGTGCTGTCCATGCCTGTTGCAGTTACACTCAATTCTGCAGCTCTGCAGCCTGCAGAAGTCAGTGAGTGCTTTGTGCAGCCTGAAGGAGGAGAGGCACAGACTGCAAGGCAGGGAGAGATGAGAGGAAGGATGAATCCATCACCTCTGTGAGGCAGTTAACTGAGCCAGATGTAAGGATGGTCTGTAACGTGGTCTCTTTGTGTTTGATGTGTGTTACTTCCTATGCACTTAATTGTTAGGTGCTTTTTCCTTGCCTTTTTCCTTCCTCTTTTGCTCTGTGGCAAACACACACACACCAGACCTGAAAATAGTCACATTTAAAAGAAAAGAGAACCACCTTAACATATCCTGAGTGCTAATTTTCTCGTGTACCTTCTGTTGGACAGGATGCTTTATTATACCCCATTTCAAATCATATTTACTTGCTATTTCCACGCTAAGCTCCCAAACAGCACAATGTGTATCCCCATTAGTACCTCTGTCACTGCCATTCTTCATCACTGCCAAGTGTTGATAATGAATAAGTTTCAGCAAAATCCTATAGTTTTACCTGCATCCAAACCATTTCCCAAACCAGTAAGAACTGTTGCTATCGACTCCTCACCAGTGAAATGTGCAATTTTGACTTGCACTACGGATATTTTCACCCATAAAATCTGCAGCCATCAAAAACCAATTCTGGGTTCACTCTCTGCAATGGAAGGACCAAGCAGCAGACAACTCACCTGTCTCCTGGGCAAAGAGGCACACCTGGGGTGTCCTGAAGAGGTGCAGGAGCAGCCGGCAGGTCATCCTGGCCCCAGGCTCAGCATCCAGATCCCCACAGGCTGCGGAAGATGGGACATGGACATGAGGAAGTCCCAGCAGCAGGCCTGGGAATGTTCCATCATTTTAGATGGAAATACAATGATTTCATCAACAGGAATAAGCATTTATGGCCTTGAGTCATTAAAAATCAGGAAAGAATGGCAGGAATTTTTGTAATCAAGAGACAGAATTAATGGCAGAAAAGAATATATGGTTGTAATGGCTTTTGACAGTTAAAGCAGCAAGAAGAAACACAAATCCAAGGAGAAAGTGAAAAGAAATGTCTGAAGTGGCCAACAAAGAAGACCCCAGGTACAGCACAGGTGTGGCAGGACCTGGAGCACAGTGTGGAGCAGCAAGGAGCAGGTGAGGCTGCACACACTGGGACAGGGGGGCAGTGCCCTGCCAGCAGCTCTGACCTCGCCGTCCCAACCTCTGCCCTCCACTGGCACCACTCCCTGGGAGCCACAGGACACAGCACTGGGCACTGCAGGACATGGCACTGGCACTGCAGGCACAGCACTGGGCACTGCAGGACACAGCACTGGCACTGCAGGACACGGCACTGGCACCACAGGACACGGCACTGGCACCACAGGACACGGCACTGGTACCACAGGACACGGCACTGGCACTGCAGGACACAGCACTGGCACTGCAGGCACAACATGCTGCTCGTCCCACCCCTGCAGACTGCTTAGGAAGTCTCAAGGTTTTCACCTTAAATTCTTCTCTTGGTGTTCCCTTACCAGCTGCCAGGAGGGAAGGCAGTGCAACGTGCTGGACAACATCCTCCAGGGAAAGGCACTGCCGGGCGATCAGGATGGACACGAACGTGGCCAGGGAGTCGTGGAACGACAGGTCACTCACCTGCCAGGGAAACACTGCCAGGCCTCACACAGCAGGGCACACACCCCTGCCACGAGTACTGAGGGATTCATTCATACAATAAACATAAAGTGGTTATACATGAGCATTTTTAATGCATTTCCCAAACATCTTAGGGCAAATACGGCTTTTAACTGAATTTTAACAAACACCAATTTCAAATACTAAAATATCAAAATTCTGAAATAAAAAACACTAGTCTTATAAAAATTGGAGAAAATTTTAGCACTCAATAAAACTAGGTAACATCAAGACTCCTCCCTTGGCTTCAGGAGAAGAAGGTCCCTATGGACACAGCTTTAGCATGCTCCCAAAGGCAAATGCCCCCAAACTGAGGGTAAATATATGGAATCAAGTACTGGATCACATCAGTCACTGTAATCCTGCTGACCATAGCAGCATCACCCATTCTACAATCAAGGAGCCAACACCAAAACAGGGTCCTTAAAACAGAGACAGTTATTTCCACATCCATCAGCATCTTAGGAAAAGCACATGGCCACACCTGCTCCTGTTGGGGAGTCACTCTGGCACTCTGCATCATCCCCTCATAGAGAACAGAACACCTTTACAAAGACAAAACTCTAAGCACTGCTCGAATTTACATTAACTCTGAAGATGCAGGAAGGAATAAAAATCAGTCAGAAACCTCATGAAAAGCCTTGAAAAGTCAAATGGATATAAGATTGAATTTGTTCTCTGCATTTTGTGTGAAACCAAAGCCTCACCATCCCTCTAAGGAAACGGGGGGTAAATGGGTGTCACAGGCATTCAGAAGATACCGAACTTACATCCACGCTGCAGAGCAGATCGTTGAAGCCCCAGACGTGGTTTGAGGAGCAGCACAGAGCCTTCAGCACCCCCAGCCACTCCGAGCTGAGCAGGGTGCAGCACGACGTCAGCTCTGCACACAGGTTCCCTATGTCATTGATCCTGGAAGGAGGGAAACACTCACACAGAGTCCACGAATTTTGTACACAACAAATACTTCGGTCAAAGCAGAGCAGCGCTTGGCAGAACTGCTGTTTCCTTACTTTAGGTGGGGATTTATGTCCTGATGTGACTAGGCTACTGTACATACACCCCAGGGTTACCCCGTGCTGGACAGCCTGGCAGAAACCTCTCCTGCAGCAGTGTCAGGGACAGGGGTGTGTGGGGCACCTCTCCCCAGCCCCAGGTCACCGTGACAGGTCACTGCAGGAGCCCTCCCCCTGCCAGGCAGCACCACCATCAGCAGGGAAACAAGTCACAAAATCAACTGGCACCAATGAATTTTACTTCACAGATCCCATACTGTGTAACATGGGATTTGGGGCATGATTCAGGGTTATGTAACAGCTTAAGAAACAGAGAAGAGTTGACTCATCCCAGTGCAAGTTATTTTCTCTCTGTTCCACAGTGAAACTTGTTTGGCCGCATTTAGATGTTCCCTTTTGTGCTCTTACAAAACTGCTTCCTCTCAGCTGCTCTGCCCTGCCAAGGATGGCCCACACTCCAGAGAATCACAGACTGCTTTGGGTTGGAAGGGATCTTAAAAATCACCAAGTTCCACTCCCCTGCCATGGGCAAGGACACCTCCCACTAGCCCAGGTTGCTCCAAGCCCCGTCCAACCTGGCCTTGGACACTCCCAGGGATGGGGCAGCCACAGCTTCCCTGGGCAACCTGTGCCAGGGCCTCCCCACCCTCACAGGGAACAATTTCTTCCTCACATCCAATATAAACCTACTCTTTGACAGTTTGAAGCCATTCTCCCAATAAAACTCTTAATACTTAAAAAACAGATCTTTCAAAAACCTGTGTCTTGCCTATGAAGACAAAATCCATAATTTATGAATTACACACTTAATAAATGAAACACCAGTTGTACCAGAAGGAGGCAATGACCTAATGCAGACTTCTAGTGAGCAGAGATTGTGCTGAGCTGTTCATTCTGGAACAGCTCAACTGCTGGTACAAAATCCTCCCTGACTGTCTGACAGCGAGTGCCTGCTGCTCCTTCCTCCCTTCTGCTAAACTATGCAGATTGATTGAACCAAGGAACTCGGAGGAAATTACACAACACTTTTCAGCAACAGGAATGAAAATGAAAACAACTGGGAAAAAAAAAAAAAAGACACCAAGCAAAAAGGTGAAAGGAAACCTCATCCCCACTCTGTGAGCTGGCTGTGTCCCGCCCCAGCACGGCCTCACCTGCCCAGGTCCTGGTGGCCCCTGGACTCACCTGCCCGGGTCCTGGTGGCCCATGCAGACGCTCAGCAGCGCGTTGCACACGAAGCTGTAGCGGTTCCCCGCGTTGTCGCTCAGGATCTTGCCCAGCATCGAGTAGTTAATGCTGAGAGCAGAGGGATTCTCAAGGAAATCCAGCATGAACTCTGGGTCCCACAGCAAGTTGGAGTTTGAGGGCTGGATGTTGCTGTAGATCGTCTGCTTCACCTTGGAACAGGCACTACTGAGGACCAAAAACAGAGAGGTGCCCAAGGCACCTTGCAGGAGTGTGCTGGACACACCACGTGGGATGAGAAAGTCCTGGCTGGGTTACCACTCCAGGCACATTTGCACTCATTTTGGGTAAGGAGCAGCTACCAGATAACAAGGCTGATATACAAATTTCATTCAAGTTTTCCTGCAAATAAAGTCTTGAGTTTCCAAATCACTTCTTGGACACTGTGAGCAGCTGGGGAAGGCCCAATGTCCTCCTCCCCAGCAGCATCTTCCTGGGGCATCAGACGGCCCTACAGGGAGTATAACCACACTTCCCAACATCACTCTCCCATTCCCATGGGAGGTGCAGTGGGGCAGGGGAAATTCATTACGGCAAAATGAGAACATTTATCTCAGTTAAAAACTACATTTGATAATAATGTGACATAATAGACAACATTTGGAAACCAGTAAATAGAGAAAAGATATTAGAGGTCATATTTTGACATTAATAATTAGACAAAAGGGTAAGAACTGTTCCAGGCCATGAACACCTCTATGTGAAGCAGTTTTCTTCAGGGGAAAAAATGTGTCAGTGAGGAATGCAAATTTCACACCCAAAATGTTCTGAGTGTTTCTCTCCAGGATGGGGTTTTATACCACATGGACAAACTTCACTAATTAGCCCAACTGGGAAGATTTCCCCATTACTGAAAAGAATCTCTTAATTTAAATTAACTTAAAATACGAGAAAATTTTGGAGTTTTTTAGGACTCCACCAGCCCCAGGATGAAAAGAGAGAGGAAACACTGGGCAGCCTGGAAGGCAGCTGGGAGCTGAGGGAGCAGCACCAGTGTGTCTGGCCAGGGGCTGGAAGGGCAGCACCCTGTGACTGTGCAGCCCCTGCGGCCCTGGGACCCCCTGTCACTGCCAACCCTGGGGACACCTTGTCCCTGCTGCCCTGGGACCCCGTCACTGCCTGCCCGAGGCCATTAGCGGGGTAATTAATTAGAAGAAGGGCAGTGTCTGACATTAACCCTCTGCTCTGACAGCCAGCACAGCAGCAGAGACAGAAATCCAGTGTGTGGAACACAAACAGCTGCCACCAAAACCACCAGGTGCTAACGGGCACAGGGCTGGCCCTGACACCCCAACACTCCCCTACAGCCACCCCATGGCCACAGAAAGGGAGGCCCAAACCCAACCAGCACTGAGCACCAGAGCAAAGCAGCCTCTGAGACAGCACTTGCACCACAGGCAGTGCTGGGGGAGTGGTCAGGAGATAAGGTTTTAAAAAAAAAAAAATAAAAAAAAGTGAAAAGAATGCTTTAAAAAAAGGAAGTTTAGGGAAGATTAGTAACTGTTCCCGGCACACAAAACCAAACATGCTGTGCCCTCACTGACACCCACTCAGGAGACACTGAAGAGGAGACCAGAGCACAGCAATGCAAGGGGGGTGAGTCTCTAAACGTGAACATTTCTGAATTGTAATTTATCATTGCTTCAAATTGCCTGAGTCAGCTGGGCTTACAGAGGCGAAAAAGGAGCTTAAAATGTTACTGTGAACATCCAGCTGAGTTGGGTGTTTCAACTGAAGCAAGGAGACCAATAATCAAATTAATGTAATGCTATTACCTTAAAGCTGTTTAAAAATGGATACATAAATGCTATTAACAGTTTTCGGGAATTTCTAAGTCCATTTGTCCAAAAAAGAGTGCTTCAAAACAAGTGCTGTGTATCACATATTTAATATATGATTTAATACCTTGTATATCTACATATTGCTAGATGCTATTTTGATTTGCTATTGTAGGTTAGTATTAATAGAAATGCTAATTTTATTGTGTTACTAAAACTTCAGGTTTTAAGCGGGAAAATGAACATAGAGCTAAGATATTTCTGTAGTTCTTCTATATTTCTTATTTCTTTTTCGTTACGTTTCTCATATTAAATGCTACTGTTCCCATGTATCTGTAAACCTATGAAAATATTAAGATTATTACTGAGAACACCTTTCCTGCTCCCTATGAAATGAAACCACAAATCTGAACTATGCAAACCCAAACCATGTACACAAACCAGGAGAGGAAACAGCAGCTGAGGTGGTTTGTGAATCTCACAAGATGTGGATTTACATCTGAAAGGTTCCCACTCCCCCTTTAAAAAGTAAAAGCCAAAAATACAGTATATGAAAACCTAATGTTTTTTGAATTTAAAAATCAAGGAACTGAACATTCAAGCATGAAACGTCACAAACTCAAACAGGTTTGTGCCTCTCCCCACATCAAAGGATACGTTTACAGAACGTTACAGATGCGGCAGCTGAGATTTTGTGGGTTTTCCAAGCAGCACTGCCTGTGCTGCACCCGAGGTGCTCCAGGAACCCCGTAAGACCCCCCAGCTCACAACGGCAGCAGGGTGAGGGGGGGCCGATGCCGTGGGGCAAGGCTGCACTGAGGGGGTCCCAGGGCTCAACCCCTGCACCCCATAGCAGGGACCTGCACAGCCCCAGGAACACACCGGCCTGGGACCAAACATCCCCTGGGAATGGGACCAAATATCCCCCGGGAACGGGACCAAATATCCCTCGGGAACGGGACCGCACATCCCTCAGGAATGGGACGGCACACCCCTCACAAATGGGATCGCACATCCCCCGGGAACAGGACTGCACATCCCTGGTCCCACAGGCTGCACTGGCACGGACACGGGACCTGCGTCAGTGAAGCTAAAGCTGCAAAGGCAGCAGCGATTTCCAGGGGATGGAAAGCAGAGGGAAACCACAGCAGCCCACATCAGTCTGTGGGCAGGGGTGAAAACAATCCCTTCACCACCCACCTGAACAGGTCTCCAAACTTGCTTCTCAGGTGGCTGCAGGACACGTACAGGTCGTACAGGTAAGCTAAAATGCACCGTTCTGGGGAGGAACACTCAGAGGGATTCACGACGTGCTTTACTACCCCACACAACCTGCAAACGCAAAAGCATCCCAAGTTTGTTCCAACACACCTGACAAACGTGTCACATACTCTCACAGATCAGATAAACCCACCGTCAGCTGGGGACACGACAGACCTTCATCTACAGCCCCATGGGGCTCGTGTGACATTTGGTGTCACCTGTGGCAGAGGCACTTGTGGAGCCCAGGGCAGAGCGGGGCAAATGGGCAGGAGATCAGGAGGTACAACCCCTTTGTCCAAGGCTACAAGGGCTGAGGATCCCAGCAGCCCCTGGCAGTGAGGTGCAGGCTGCAGAGCTGAGCCCTCCACCCCGCTCACCTGAGCTCACCCACGGCGCTTCAGCAGCACTGCAACACCTGCTCCAACCACCCAAACCAAAATGCTTTCCTTGCTTAAGAGAGAACAAAATCCCTCTTTGAAAAGCCGCGTGTGCCACCGACCCTTCGAAGACCTGGGCGGTCTGCTCGGAGCTGAGGAGGAGGCAGGCGTGGTGCCGCCGCAGCACGGCCACGATGCACACACACAGCCCCGTCGTGTAGCTCCCGGCCAGGCTGGACGACTTCAGCAGCAGCTCGGCCTCCACCACGCTCAGCTCGTTCAGCAGCTGGGAACACACACAAGAGCAGCAAACTGAAAGTAATTTCCCAGTTAAACATGTAAAACAGGAGCAAAAAAAAAAAAATACATTAAGGAAGAACTGTGAGGTGAATAAAAATGCAGTTCTTTACTCACTACAGAACAAGGGGAAGAGGGAGCAAAATAAACGCTTGAAGTATAAAAAACATCCCTCAGAAGAGCTCTTTGGAAATCCACGGCATTTCAGGCACCCCGATGCGTTACTGGGTAACACAGTGGTTTAGTCTGAAACAGCAAAGCCCATCCTAAAATCCTTTGTTCTAAAACAATCCAGAATTTTGTTAATTTTGAAATATTTAAAAATAAAATGCATCTATTGATTCTCCACAACCATCACAGCACGGCGGAAGGAGAAGTGTCCGGCACTCTGAGAGGGCAGGAAACTGGAACAGCCACGAGCACACGGAGGGAATTTGCAGTCCAGCTCCTGGGGGTTTTCTGGCTTCCCAGAACATGGACCACAGCTCTGTCCTCCCAGGACCTCACCAAATGAACTGTGCTCACCTGCACCGCGAAGTCTATCAGTCCGTTGATGTTCAGTGCTGGCTCCATGAGGTCGAAGATGAGCTGGATGTGGTGAGCCAAGGGCAGGTGGTACGACGTTCCCGAGGCAAAGCTGGTGATCTGCTCGAGGACATTGCTGGAGATCTGGGAAAGGGAACGCTGGAAGTCAGATGTGACTGAGGGCTCCTCAGGTACACCAGCACTCCAAAAATCCTGCTGTGCAAGTGGCAACAGTGAGTGCCAGCACTGTGCAGGCAAAAGCACTCACACACCAGGCACAAGCACCCCTGTCACTCCCTGTCCCTGAGCCAGGCACAGTGCCCTTCCTTTCTAGGCCTCACAGCACACAAAAGGTTGTTCTGCTGCTTCACAGCTGGGTCTCCAACTGTTCCCAACAGCTACAGCACTGATTTCTGCTCTGGAGGCAGTTTGCTTCAAAGAAGCAGAAAAATCATTTTTCTTTGCATCTTGCTGCACTGTGATTTATTTCAGTTGATTGGAATATTCAACTGGTTTTCAGTTCATTAATAACACATAAACCAAACTTGTAATAAATTTATTCAAAAGACCAGACCAAAAGATGTCTTATAAATTAAGTGTCAAACGTTTATCTCTTTTATTTGTTTCACATATTAACCTCTGGTATTAGAACATACTTAAAACCAGTAACACATACAAAATGATGAAACTCTGTGCTGACACACTTGCACACTTATGAGTCCTAACACAAAGCAGGAAAACCAAGCTTGTCCTTCAGAACAAATTATCACATCATCATAGAATGATTTGGGTTGAAAGGGACCATAAAGCTCAACTCATTCCACCTCTCTGCCACAGGCAGGGACACCTGCCACTGGACCAGGTTATTTTGTATACATACAAAACGCTCATAAAAAACAGGATTTCTTTCCCATTTGGCATCCCTGCAGCAGAGCTAAAAGGCCACAATTTGACACAAGGGAAGTACCTGGGATGTCACCTGATGTTGATCGAAATAGGACAGCTGCTGTAGTTTTGTGAACACAGTCTCCAGGGTTGGAAACGCCTCTGGTTTGGTCTTCCGGGCCTTCTGCCCTTCGTCCCCCACTGAACAGACATAAAAGGTTATTTCAGTCATTTTATATTTAATGGAACCCTAGCAGTTTTCCATTGGTACTGATTTAAAAGACAATAAAACCCTTATTAAGTTTTACTCATGACTCTACAAACCCTATTAGCTCCAGTTTTCCATCATAATGATCCACAACAGCACAAAACAGTGTCAGAGCTGCCACGGGGTTATCCCAGTGCACAGAGGTGACACCCCAGAGAAGCTGAAAACAGCCACACGCTGTTACCAGGAGGGTGAGACCATGGATCACTCACATTCCAGGCTTTAGCCCAACACAACTGTTTGCAGCCAATTGCTACAATGGAAAACAGGGATTTCTAGTGGTGGCAGCCCTCGGTCATCCCAAAGCACTGTGGGGCTGTGGGGCTCTGCTCAGCACCCCCCAGGGACTGCCAAAGGGAGGGAAGCCAAATTACAGGATAACATGAATGTCTCCAGACAATGGTCACTACAGTGACTGAACAGCAGCCTTAGAGCATTTACCACCCATTTCTGTAGTGCTCTTCTTGTTCAGGATTTTGAGGATGTCTTTGGTGATCTTCTTCAGCTGGTGCCTCGCTTCATCCCGCTCCTTACCCACGCCATAGAGGAGAATCATGCGCTGGTTACACTCGTGGCTGGAGGACTCATCCTGAAAAGAGCAAGTGAAGTCTCTCTGCCTGTCCCTGCCAGCACCTGCATCCCTGTCATTGGCCTGGGCAGCCCAGGCTGCAGGAAACAACAACTGACTCCAACACAAACACATCTCCTGTGGCTGTCAGTAGGGACAAACAGTGCCAAAAGGGATCACCGAAGAGTGGGGTAAAAACACAGAGGGGAAATTCAATCAGATATTATGAATTCTGTGTGTATCTACAAGGACAGAACCAGGGGATGACCCTCCACACTGTCCCCTGGATCAATATTCCACAGCAGATCAGTAAATGGAAGACAGACGTTTAGAAATTGTGTGACACTTACTATGTACAAATCCACTGAGAAAAAAAATGCAGTCCAAGTCCTAAAATTCTGTCTTGCACATCCCAAAGAAATTGAAATATGTGTAGTTTATTTCGTTGTTAGTGGCCTTTCAACAAAATGTATATATCATATAATGTTGATGTTACTGTATGTAACTTGGAAACTCGAAGCACTGCTTTGCAAGTTACATAAGACATAAATATTTGCTTCAGTAATAACCTCCTCCAAAGCAATCAATCACTACTTCTTTCAAATACTTTAAAGGTTTTAAAAAACAAGGCTGTGTACAAAAGTAACACTAAAGAATCACAAGGCTGAAAGGGGCAGACAGGAGCACAGCTCTATGCTCAGAAAAGTTGCACAATCTGACAAATACCCACTCTCTTTATAAATAGTGTCTCTGGAAGCCAAACAAAGGCAGGAAGTAAACCACTAATGATTTTTTAAATTTCTATTTATTTCTCTTTCTCTTCTATAGAAAGCAGAAGCTCTGAGTGCACCTGTTGGAATCTGCCGTTGTCACTGGCTGAGAAACCAGTTCACAGCCAGAGGAAAGCCTAAGCCTCAGGACTGGGATGCTCAGCTGCTCCTCCTGCCTCTCCCAGCTCCAAGGGATCCCACAGGAACACTGCTGCCCACTCCCACGGTGAAGAGCTGGAAGGACTGCCAAGGACCCTCCCTTACAGTTTCCACGGCAGGAACACCCGAATTCCACCACTTCCCTCAGTGCCCCACGGTAACTTCCCTTGGCTCTGGGGGGAGAACAGATCCATGCTCAGGGAGTACTTGTTCTGTTGGGATTGCACTTGGCAGCTGAACCTGTTACATGATTCAGAGCAAAAGTCAATTTTTTCTACCTTAGAGGGAGAAATAAAACTTTGTGGCTCTGTAAGACAGATGTCAGGGATTTGAGCATGAGCTGACAGCACATCAACTCCTCCAGTGCCTGTTTTACACAGGCAGAGCTCAGACAACAGTAGTCATGTAAATAACTGCATCACTACACCTGAGAGTCACCCCAGCCCAGCTCGGGCCCCACCGGCTGCATGCACTTGTTCCCAACACAAAATTAGAAGCAGACTGACAAGGCTCACAATTTCACTCTTTTCTGCTTGTTTCTCCAGGGAGGGGGGACATCAGAGTGCAAATGAAAGCCACAACCCACTTCAGCTCCCCCAGGAACTACAGCAACTGTACCAGCGACAGCAGGATCAGCCAAGTCATCTTCCCTTTGCTGTACACATTTCTATTCCTGGTGGGCATCACCATGAACGGCCTGGCAATGTGGATCTTCTTCAAAATATCCAGTAAATCCAATTTCATCATATTCCTCAAGAACACTGTCATTTCCGACTTTCTCATGATCTTGACTTTTCCATTCAAAATCCTCAGTGATGCAAAGCTGGTGTCGTGGGTCCTGCGAGGGTTCGTGTGCCAGGTCACCCAGGTTGTGTTTTACTTCACCATGTACATCAGCATTTTATTTCTCGGTCTGATAACTATTGATCGCTATCAGAAAGCCACTTCGCCATTCAGAACATCAACTCCACGGAGCCTTTTGGCTGCCAAGATCCTTTCCACAGCAATCTGGGTAGCAATGTTTGCTCTTTCATTACCCAACATGATTTTAACTAACAAGAAGAGAACACCCAAGAACGTGAGGAAGTGTGCTCTCCTCAAATCCGAGTTTGGCTTAATCTGGCACGAAAGTGTAAACTACATTTGCCAGCTCATTTTCTGGGTTAATTTAGCAGTCATAGTGGTATGTTACATCCTCATCAGCAAGGAACTCTATAAATCCTATAAAAGGACAAGATGCACAGGGAAGGCATCCAAAAAGACTGTCAATTTGAAGGTTTTCATCATCATCGCTGTGTTCTTTATTTGTTTTGTGCCATTCCACTTCACCAGAATCCCCTACACCTTGAGCCAAACGAGAGACGTGTTTAACTGCTCTGCTCAGAACACCCTGTTCTACCTGAAGGAGACCACGCTGTGGCTGACATCCCTCAATGCCTGCCTGGACCCATTCATATACTTTTTCCTTTGCAAGTCCTTCAGGAAGTCCCTGCTGGGCACTCTGCGCAGGCACACGGCGCTGTCGGGGCTCGGGACACGGACCCAGGAGCAGAACGAAGGGGATGACACGGACGAGACGCCCGTCTAGAGCTCAGGGGTCCCCACACCCCTTCCTGGCCTTCCACCTTATCGTGGGGGGAAGGAGCACAAATCCTGTGGAGAGTATCCAGAGCTTCACTGACCTCTTTAGAAATTGTCCTGCAGATGAAGCATGAGCACCCTGGAACCACCACCACTGGCTGCAGAAACAGAAAGTTTGAATAACAGAGGAGTCTCCCCAACCTCCATCCTTGCCAAAAAGGACCTCCTGTGACCCCAATCACCATGCCTGTCAGAACTGTAGGGAAGTAGCTTGAACTTAAAGGTAGAACTGTGAGGAAAACTTCAAAGAGAATCATGAAATGCTACAGATGAGATCACAAACTGCCAAGATTTTGCAGAAATAGATAAATTTGGGTCAGAGTAAAGTCCATGACAACACAAGATCTGGGAAATGCAGCTAAAATCCACACTAAATGTAATTTTTCAATACAGGGAGCTGTCACCGGGTACACAACTGGCAGACAAACAAACCTAGGCCAGATGTAGAGGAGCCATTTGTCTGTGCAGATTTTTGGTAACAGAATAACACTGTGCTTTTCTCATTCTGTGCTTGCAATTCCTAATCCATTGACCAATAACTAATAGTTGTAACAGTTGTATGTCAGAGGAAATTATTTCATAATCAGGCTTATCTTAATATGACTTATATCCTCAAATTCTTCCCCTTACTACATAAATAAACAAAACTGTACACTTTTACAGAGAATGATATATTATATTAGAAAATATGCAAAGACTTTTTGCACTATACAAAATATTCAACCATTCCCCCTTTTGCAATTGGAAAACTTGGAAAAAAAACAGGGAAGTATTTTCAGGTAGATGACATCGGCAGGTATCACAACAACCACACATGAAATAGCCCGTGGGCTACTGGAATAAATTGTGGTTCATTTATCAGCACTGCAAACAGCTGTAATTAATCAGTGTGTGTCACCATCACACCAGAGCTCAGGCCTGCCCAAGCCATCGCCTGTCCACCCTTCCCAGGACGTGTCCCTGCCTGCCAGGGCACTTCTGCCACTGAACCCCAATTTCCAAAGTTAAAAGGCAGCTCACTCACTGCTCACTCACTGCCACACTGAGCCGTGGGGTCTGTGCATCTCTAATAACCTCAGGATGAGTTAAACCTTCCACCAACCCTTTAGTGCCCTGCTGATGCTGGTCCCTGCCCCAGCTGACACAATATCAGTAACTGGGTTTCACGGCAGGGCACAGAGCACCAGGATTTCCCTGGAAACAGTGCTCAGTCACCCTGGAGTGCGCTCCCACAGCAGCCCACAGGCCCCCAGGCCAACCAGTTCCCACTAGTGCCCAGGAGGGATGTGCCAGATGCCCCACTCCCACCCAGCACTCATTGCACATATTTACTGCACCTACACCCAGGGACAGAGTGGCAATTACCTGGCAGCTGCTTCCCCTGGTCTGATGAGCTGTTCAGAGAACAGACACCACAGACACTGTGACCCACACAGAGGTACCTGGTACCTGCTGCCTTTCACAGCTGGGAACAGCATCAAGAGCTCAGTTTGGAAGAAAACACAGAAGGCACTGCACTGGACATCAGTCCTGGAGCATTGCAGTGGACTGTGTCACCTTCACACTGTCACTGATGGGCAAACAGGAGGCGGGCTGGGCAGCCAGGGACACATCACACTGATGGCAATGGCAAGGGTGAGCTTCATCCCAGCCATCCTCAAGGCTCTTCAACCTCCCCAGCCATTTAACACTGACACCAGCCCCCACATTAGCCAAAGTGTATCAGGTACTGATGCACAGACTCCCTGTCACAGCTGCAGCCCAAGCATCTGGTGAATCCATCCATGCCTGCCCCAAAGGGACAGCTTGACCATGAGGCACTTCCCACACTGCAGCGAGCACAGAGCCAGAGCTGTCACATCAGTGGGCAGGAACAGACCTGCACAAACAGCTCTGTTCACAGAGAAATGCACCAAACTCCAGCATTACACCTAACAAACACATCATCAATCCACAGCCTTGCATGCAGCAGTACCTCCTGCCAGGACCAGAAAGTGGCTGTAACCAGCACAGCACATCATCTGGCTACACAGACCAAAATAAACCAGTTTTGCTGGTTTATTTACAGAGTACCCACTGTAAGGTGGCTCTGAGCAGACTCTGGTCACGCATTAACAACAACCAGTGCCATCCAGAACAGCGAATTCACACACACAAACAACAACTTGGAGCTACATTTGAGGATTGTCCTGGAAAACTGTCAGGAAATACTCTGTGTTTGTTCATCCCACATCTCTAAAGGAGCCAAATCATAATGCCCAGAGCAGGAGCAGCAGGTCTGTCACACACACACACACAAACCCAGAAATGTGTCTGTCTTGAGGGACGGGATCAGGCTTCCTTTACCAGTTTAGGAGAAGGCAGTGTGCTTTCTCATGCAGAGCAAAGGGAAGAGAGAAAGCATGATTAACTAACTTGGTGACACATGAAAATGAGGAAGGAAACCACACA